CTGCACCTCGCCTGGGTCTCGCGCAGGGATTCCGTCTGCACAACAGCAGGCATCCAGCTCGCGGGCAGAATCCGCGCGTGCCACCAGCAGCGCTCCACCGTGCTCTGTTCGATGGAGAACCAGGCGTCATGTAGCCGGACGACCACCTCGCGCATCTTCGGCTTCATCCGCTGCAGCTGCGCCGGGCAGCCGCGCGCTTCCCACATCTGAGTGAGGACCGCGAGCCATTTCACGCGGTACCTTGCCTTGGCCGTCGCGATCAGGCCCTAGTCGAGCGGCTGGATGAAGGCGGTCGTGTTTGGTGGCAAATATACAACATGTATGTTACTCAGCTTGCAGGTACGAAAGCCACAGAGGTCCTCGGTTATGGCACCCGGAGTGGTGATGCGGTGGCTACTTGCATTGTCGACGAGGAGCACGATCGAGTGTCCCTCGGCGAACATGGCAGCGTTGAGCGACTCCATGTACGCAGTAAATACCTACAGGTTTAAAAAAATGGGAAGAGTCATCGCGATAAACGGAGGTGAGATAAGCGGTTACGACATAACGCTACGGCTAATTGGAATACGAGAGGTGCAGTCACAAAGTAGGAGCACAAATTTGCAACACATGGAAAAAGGTAGGAGTTTGATTTGGGGGAGTTTAGATGGCGGGGCATGTTCCTTACCTCGCTCGTCATCCACCCTTTCTTGTTGTAACGCCAATGGACCCAGGGCTCGGGATCGAAATTCCCTTCATTGAAATCGCGCGGCCGTCGAACCTTGCTTATCATCATGGGCTTGAGCATCGACGAGCCGTCGGTGTTACAGGTAAAGACGACGGTGATGCGGTCCTTTGCAACTTTGCGACCGGACAAGGTCTCGTCGGTCCACGTGCGACGGGGCTGGAAGGACGTGAACACTGCCGTCTTGTCCAAGTTGTAGAGATCCTTGAGGTGCACACCGAGGAAGAGAAGCAGCTCCGGAAGCTTCTGGTGCGCCCAGTTGACAGCGGCCATGTCAGCGTCTGCAGCGTCGCCTTTGCTTGTGAGGCTCTTGAAACCCATGCGGTCCACAGCCTTGTGACACCAGTTCAGGGAGCATTTAAACGAGGATGGAATGCCCAAAATACGCGCAAGACTTTTGGCTTTTATCTGAATAAGACTCAACGTCAAGGGAATTCCAACAGAACCAGAATTTCTTATCCAAATCTTCAATTCGTTCTCGAGGCAGGGGTGGTGACACCCGCGAACGCGAATGCGCTTGTCCTTGGAGGTTGCCGCCCATTTTGCCTCGAGCTTCAAAATCTTACCGATGGTGCTTCGGTCCGGCAAGAGACCGAACCTAGTGAAGCACCAGCGGGCAAGATTGTCGAGGCGAAGGTGCGGATTTGAAGCTGCATGCTTGCATATTTCCCGCTTGGTGACGACCGGAATCTGTGCCCTGCGGTGGATGCGAGGCATTGTCGGAAGTAGAGAAATGGGGTGGTTCTAGTTACGGGGTGGTGGAACGAATTTCCACAGCTGTTTGATAGTGTTCTAAATACAAACTTCTGGTGCACAGCCAAGTGGACGCTCTGCCTCGATCGCCAACATCCAAAGCTGCATGGCCAGAGGGTGTTCGGTTCCAGGCCCTGCTAGCTGGGCACGGGGGGGGGGGGGGGGGTACGTAGTTGCATACGTGGAGGCATGGCGCGTCATTAAACTGAGTAAATGGACCACACCCGATACCCAAAATCCGACGTGGGGTTCTTTGTGCCCAATGGAAGGCGAGTGTTCATCGCGCATTTCGTTCGTGCTTCGCTAAACCACCCAGTCGTATCGCATGCAATCGTAGCTACTGACCCCATTGGTTGCTTGGAAGATTTTTCCGGTCCATTGGTCACTGCGCTGGCTGGATTGTGCAACTGTACACTTATAGGTGGACACTATATAGGGGACACAAGCAGTGTAGAACCTCAAGTTTGACTGTAGCAGTTTTGTTGCCTGAAACGGATGGAATGGTAGAGGAAAAAAGGTGTACCATGACGAGATTTAGGGTGTAATGAATTGCACTGTTATGTCCTTGTTTTATTACTTGACCGGACTTGTCCCCTCTGCGCCACTCGCCCCTGTCGTCTAGCCCATGGGTAGCAGGAGCTTCATTTTACTGTTGTTGGGCGCTAGAGATAGGCGAAGAATTCCTAGCGAACAAGTCCTTGGATAGCCCGTCCACGCAGTGGGCCTTTATCGTAATTTCGCGGTATCTACTCTTCTCGCGTAAGCACAGCTTCCCAACCAATGGGTTCTCGGAGACAGCATTGGCTGTACATACGTGCTGCTGTGCGCTAACTGTGCCAACACTGTCCATGCTGGCGGAAATTGATCCCTGCCAGCGTGCAGCGGTGGATCCTGGCACCTGCTTACAGAATCGAAGCTGAGTGGGCGGGCAGATGCCAGCAAAGGGATCCCTTCATTTAAGAGTAATTACTTTCGTTACACTATACATCAGCGCGGTGTTTGAATTGTATCCCGATCAGACATTAGCGTGGATTAATTCTCTGAAGCAATCAACGCTGCACGAGTTCAGTACGCCCCTCCTTACCCCACACCGCCTCCCCCCGCCCCCCACCCAGCCCACCCCAGCCCTACTCTGACAGATCGGGGCTGCTGTATTGAGGTTCGTGAGTCAAGCAGGTAAGAAAGGAGAGATAACACTTACACGAGGGTAAACCATGGTGAAAACACTGATTCGAGCGAGTACTTCAAAATGAATCAATTGGCTTGACAAGAAGCCACAGTCAGAGTCTCACAGTTTCCAACTACATGTTTGGCAGAGATTGCGAGACTTCTGTGTACAGACGAAAAGAAGTAGAGTAAAGAGCAAGGCATGTACTGTACAGGACCGTTTTCTTCACAGTTACTTACCCGGTTTTGAGGATTCTGACGGCTGACTTTTCGGCCGAATTCGGATTCTGACGGTTTCTCTCAAAGTGAACCCAGATTTATTGGGGTCTGGTACGGATTCACGGGACCTACTGGCAGATCCTTTCCCCCCCTCCCCACGACTCCCTCGTCCCCTCGAAGTATAACTTCCAGTGCTTCGACATGTTTTGCGCGTTTGAAAACTGCCGTAGAGCCGGCCCAGCATTTAGCTTCCCCGTATCTAGCGTCCTAGATAGCTAGATGACGAAACAGAATGCTGAAAAGTAGGCTGCTTTTTGTACCCGAATTTCACCAGTAGCTTTTGACAGAATATGGGTTGAGCCAGAAACTGACGGGGCTCTAGCCAGACGCCCGGAGCCATATCCCAGAAAATCTTCACGTGAATCCTCGTTCGATCGATTCGCAAGGAGCTCTCATTCGCAAGAAGCTGTGTAATCAGGGTTTCTGCTGACAGAGTAAATGCCCACTCGACTAATTTACGGGGCAAACATTTCTGACTTCCAGTCCCCTAAAATCACGCATCACAAAATGAGGCTTTCATATACGTAGTAACTACTGTTGCTCGTAATGTGTGGCTACTCCATGGCTGTTGTAACCACTCTGTGCTCAAGTCATTTGCGACTGCTGCGACAACGATAAGCACAACTATTCGCTAAGTGAGGGTACCACAGGTCAATTATTTGCTAAAAGATGCTTTGCGGAGTTTGCGTGTGTCGAATATTACCTGATGGTGGCAAAACCACCTGCTTTCAAACAGGAGATTTTCCGCACCCGTGGCAGTGTCGTACTGTATCAGGATTTGGAAGAGCGGGGAGGAGGTCGGTGATAGGGGAGGAATGGGATGACCTGTTCGTCGGTGTAAGAGTCGTCCAAAGTACCCATCGACATTCGTCGACATCCCCGAAGTTGAGGCACCGATCCGGATACTTAATTTAGCCAACCATAAACTCAAGGCACCGTATTGAAACCACCATCCTCGTGCTCACCTTTCTTCGCGATGCCTTCTATTGTTCTGTTTTCTGATAGTAACGTCAGAATTTCCATCCAAAGATTTTTTTCCAGACTAAAAGCGATGTGGGAAAAAAAAAATCGGTGATGGCGGTGAGCGTATCCCCCCAACCCCCCCCCCCCCCCACCCCACCCGAAATCCCTGAATGAGTTTTGGCAGTTTCAATTTTCTCGGGACGAAGGTGTGAGTCACGGGTATGCTCGAGCGTTGTAAGGTTGAATGATTTTGTCAATTCACAATTTACTGAGACTCGGCTGCTCCAGCAGTTATTTGCCGAAACATGCAACAATTCAAGAGCACATTTGGTCCGAGACCTTGAAATGGAATATTTTGCAAACTGGGAGAATAACCTTCGGTTCTGTTAATATCAGGAAGAAAGGTATACAGAATGAGAAACCACCTCTCTTGCCCAAACTTCGGTTGTCTTCCAAACTTCAGAACCCCATCTGAGTTGTTACACCCTAGCTTCCCCCAGCTGCATCTGGGGGGCATTCCGCCACTGCCTGTCTGTTCTGGTCTGCACAAGGTGCTGTCTCCAGCTGGATTTTCCCAGTGGGAAACCCGCCGGATTACTCATTGCAGCTAGTTGTCCGAGTTTGGAATCCACGTTCCAAACACCTCCGTAACAGTTTTACCCTTGTCGCCCGAGTCAGTCACCCCATGTTTTTGGGCGGCTGGGACTGAAAGCGTCCCCGACACTTCGCGCACCTCGCCATGGGAAGAATGGGATTGCAAGTGTGTTGGAGTGTTACCGCTTTGGCATACGCGGATTGCGACGGGGGGCTGAATTTGTACTTTCTGAATTTGTAGTTTCCCGGTGGACGAACATTGGCATGCTGTCATGGCTGGCAAATTCCAATGTTGCCGTTCTCTGTGAACAGTGCGGGCCATATTCTAGAAACGGGGGTGCGGTTGCCCGTGCTAGAGACAGAAGTGATGCGGGAAGCTTTTGTGAGTGAACCGAGACGTGACTGACTCGGGCAACAAGGGTATTGATTGACCGTAAAGGCGCAGTTTTTTTTTTAGTGACGCCGAAAATGTCTCTGAAACGCACTCTCTAGAAGGGCTCCCTGCGCCGGTCGAGATCTAATTTCGGTCGATGAGATCTTCCTGCTGCTCTATCACATGCAGTTTGAGCCAGAGCAGGGTTCTGCTCCATCCGTCCACTGAGCTCTTTCAAACAGCATATGATCGTTCAAGCTGGAAGTTGAGCTTCCAAAGAAGGAAATTCTTTAAGGATCCACTCCCCTCAGTTCCCAGTTCTCACCGCGAGGCAGCCTGACTCGATCATCAGCAGGCTACTAGGAGGTCCTAGGACTTTTATTACTAAGTTAGTACTAGTAATAATAGTAGTTGTCTGCCTGTCATTAACGGTTAATGCGGTGGCCCATCTTGTTGCTGACCCCTTGGATCAAATTACTACTACTAGAAACAGATGAGGTTTGTGTCAAGTTTGAGACCTAGAAACGAGATGTCCAACGGCGCTACTAAGCAGAGGAGCAGGAGAATAGCTGGAGCACTTTGGACGCCGGAGGTATTGTACCACTTCGCTAAAACATGCATTGTAAAAAATGGTTCCCTAAAAAAACCTTTCATTATTATTATAATCTCTGCCATGGCCATGGCCCTGTTTTTGAGAGTTGATTTGAACATTGCCATGGCTCGCGTGCTTACTGTTGGGCGTGAGCAGGAAGACAATATCTTATTGGCCCACGTGGCAAAGCATGGCACACACAATTGGTTACTTGTCAAATCCATGGGCCTGCTGCCCACGCGAAATCACAAGGCGTGCTGTAACCGCTATATTCTGCTCAAGAGGTGATTTCCACATGGTAGTACTTCCCTGCTATTTTATTGTGTGTTGGGTTTGCTGCTACTAATGGCCTTTTAGAAGCGTCTCCTGACCTGGCGTAGAGTTCAGTGACTCATGCCATTGCTTCCCATCTCCCCCCATGTTTCATGTCACATCTCCATGTTTCCTGTCGGTCATAATGCATCCAGGAAGCTGTCCAAGCTGGGTCATCTCACAGCACACATGGACATGGCTGCAAAAGGGGAGATTCCTGCTGTGCCCACCATGCCTGCGGTGGCTGCTGTGCCACTGTTGACTGCTGTGCCAACGGTGGCTGCAGATGGTGGCTTGACACGAGACACTGCGAAGGCTGCGAAAGCTGGGATGGCTGCTGTGCCGACGGTGCCTGCGAATGCGGCTGCTGTGCCAACGATGCCCCGGGCGACTGGGACGGCTGCTGCACCAACAATGCCTGCGAATGCTGGAATGGGGACGGCGAAGACAACGCAGCAGACTCTAGATGAACGAGATGAATGTCTTTTTAGAGCCTCATTCTGTCATCAGCAGCACTCCTGCTGTCGTCAGCAGCAGTTCAGATCGTGTCATCAGCACCACGCGTCGTCTCAGCATCAGCACACGCCAAACCATCAACAATGGGACACGGAAACAATCATGGCTGAGAGCAGCCCTCTGATGCGGGGGATGCAGAACTCAACCGCAGCTGCAAAAGCAGAGTGCTCGTGCAAGAGAGCTTCAGGAGAGCCATTTGCATCTGCTACACTCGACCTTCAGATTGAATCAGCAACAACAGTGATGAGCCAAGCCAATATGGAGGATGAAGCAGCAGAAGCAGCCAGTGATGAGATGATGGTTGGAATTACAAGCCCAGCAGCAATGTCCTCACACTCCCTATGTGCACCCAAGTGCGTACACATTCCGACATCGCGAATCATCCGTTCAGCGCCAAAAGAAAGCCTTCAAACTCCACAGATGCACCTGTCAGGATCAGAGCATTGCCTTCCAGTGTTCCCCTCTCAACCGCTTCTCCAGGCCACATCCGAGTCATCAACCTCGAAACCATTCGCTGCGCATCTACTTCCCCCTCATCGTACTGTTTCTCTTACTCTCCCTCCTATTCGCCCTCCTACTCTCGATCTTCCTCCTACTCGCCCTCCCACTCCTCCAACTACCCCCACTACTCTCCCACCTCCGCTCTCCCTTCCTCATGGGAAAGTGGACAACGGAACCTCAATTCTGGTCGCAGCACCTGCACAGGAATTGAAGGGTGTTGAAACCACATGCTTGGTCGACTCGCCTATGCAGGACCTGGAGGAGATTGAAGCCTTCTTGGGTGCCCTACCTGATCAGACGAATTTGCAGATGCCTCAGCAGGTGCATCAGCAGGTGCATCAGCAAGAGAATTCTGCGGAGGGAATCAATGCCTACTGCAGTTTGCCAGTTGTTGCGAATCAGAGGCCACTTGTCTACCATGCAGCACAGGGTGCAGTCTCTGCTGACACCAGCCATAGGCATCAGCACGTACCTGCTGGGGATGCTGCTGCTAATGCGCCTCCTCCCTCTGCTGATATGGCTCCTCCTCTCTATGCTGATGCGGCTCGTTTTCCTACTTCTCCTTTTGCACATGCTCCTTCCCCTACTGCTCCTTTCCCATCTGCTCCTTGCCCCACGGTGCCTTCTGCCGCTTCTTCTCTTTCTGCCGGTGCAATTCTACTCGCCTTTGCTGATTTGCTCTCTGCTGCTGCCGTATCTCCTGATCTACCTGGCCCGCGCTGTGCTGCCATGGCTGCCGTGGCTCCGACTGTCAGTTCTGATTGGCCGGCAGCCATCGACGCCGCCGCTTCAACCGCTGCCATTGATGGCGCGATTGCATCGCTCCTTATTCAGGCGGAGCTGATCAGAATCAACAATGCCCGGCTGCTGCTAGCTCCTATACCTCCAACATCCGCAACAGCCGTTCAGGTTGCCCCAGCACCCTCTCCCCGCCACCCAAAACTCACAGCGCGCCCCTCTGCACCTCTCTCGGTCGCTCTTTTTGCCCCTCTTTCTATCCCTCTTTCCACCCCACTTACCACTCCTTCTGGCCCCTTTTCCGCCCCACTTTCTGCTTCACAGCCGACATCGCAGTCCAGAACACCCGTTCTTCGTATTCCACCTTTATCACTGCCACCTGCTGCTCCCCCCTCTGCTGCTGCTCCTCCTGCTGCTGCCGCTCATCAACCTTCTCCTCCTCCTCCTACACCCCCTCCCCCTGCTGCTGCTGCTGCTGCTGCTGCTGCAGCTGCTACGCCTGCCACTATCAGTTCACTGTTTCTCGGGCCGTCTAGCTCTGCTGCTGTTGCTGCTGCCGATGGCCGTGCTGCTGATGCTGCAGCAGAGGCGCGGCTGAAGCCGGATGAGCTGTTTGAAGCGTGGTGCAATGGGCCCTTCGCGAGGGTGAGTTATGGTACATGGCATGGCAATGGAAGGTGGGGCATGTTATGGCATGGCATGATCTGGAATCGGATGGCTAGCATGGTTGCTGCTGAGGCCTCCAAGCGGTTATCAGCCCAGAAGTGCTGTTTGAGATGTGGTGCAGTGGGTCGCTCACCAGGGTGGGTTATGGCAGATGGCATGGCATGGTACGGTGTGGCGGGTACTCCATTGCGCTTCTAACCAGATGAGCTGTTTGTAGCATGGCATAATGGTCGTTCTCAAGTGGGTGAGTACATGGCATGGCATGGCTTGGCATGCATCAAGATATTATGGCATCGCTTGATATCCAGTAGTATGTATGGGATGATGCCGTGTGTGGCGATCCAGCTGTTGTGTGCTGCCACAAATTGCTATTTATTGGTACATATTTCAGCATGTTGGTTGATTTTTCCATGGTGGCATTCCTGCATGGCAGGTTCTCCACAGCATCTGACCAGAGCTTTGAATCTCTGCCCATTCACGTACAACTAGATGGAGGTTTTTGAACGTGTTCCTCCACACCTTGCATCAGACGCGCCTTGGAAAAAGCTCATGTGGTCCTGTTGTGCAGTTGAATTGCCTGATTACATGGCCCGGTCCGGCTCAGTTCAGCTCAGTCCGAGCCGACGCGAGCGTGCATGGTGCACTTGGGCTGTATCAAGGTTACCATCATTGTGCGGGATGGCATGTACCCTGCCCACTGTCCTTCAAAGTTAGAGTGCAATAGGAGCTCGGTTCGATAGCCTATGGTACCAGCCTTTTTGCAAAATGGCAATGCATTGATGACTTGTAGATACCACCAGCAGTGGGCAAAATGTGTGGTTGATAAAGCGTGCCTTGTACCCCATGAAGTTGAGAACTAGAGCAATACAGAGGGAGTAACGAAGAGGAACAGAATGGAGTACAGCACAGGGCTCTGGCTTAAGTGTTTTGGAAGCCTTTATAGTCAGGACTCAGGGTTCCTCCCAGGGCCTCAGATTGCTCAGGATTCCCCCAACCCCCTCCCCCCTGAATTTTCAGGCCTCCCCCCAAAAAAATCACTGATGTATCAGGGTTCACAAGTTTTTTTTTTGCACTGGGCTATCAGGGTCACACACATAAAACACGCAGAAAGTACAGCACTAGTGAAATTCCAGGGAAATTGAACCAAACCTACTTACCAGGCCCTAAGAGTGCATGATTGTTTTTCCCAGATTCAGAGTGAATCAGGGCTTTTTGGGGGCCTGCCCTGACTCGACAGGGCTTTTGCAGACACACCCCTGAAATTTCAGGGTTTGTTATTGAGTGGACTCTTAACGCTCGGCGTTAGTGTCGTGAGCCCTGTTTGTCCAGCCTATCGGGATCGCGAGTGTTACAGGAGCCCTATGAATTTCATGAAAAACAATTGAACATGTCAACATTCTCTGCTTGTGTCGCCTGGTTTAGTGGAGGCCTTGAAGTGCAACATGAGGGAATCAGTGTCAGATCTTTGCCCGATTGTGGTTATCCAATGACGCATCAATCAGAGACGATCCAAGGATTGCACTCAAACTAATTGTGGTTTCAGTTGTGTGATTGGCTATGTTTCATTTTGCATATATGTTGTAACATAGCCTCAGCATGACACGAGATTGTTAAATACCCATGTGGATTCTCCACAGGTTCCATGACGACTAGCAAACATGCCTTCTTTTCAATTCATTACCGTTTTTCACGGTAGAGTCGGTTTTGCCCCAGGTTTTGGCCTTTCGCAGAACAGGAGTGCGTCGCGTGGTAGATTCGGATTCTCCAAAGCCAGATAAGGTATAATAGCGGATTCCGAGCCCCCACCCCCCCCACCCGTTATTTCCATGAGTTCCCCCCGCCCTCCTCGCCAATCAAGCCGACTTGAATTCGACCGACCATTTTCGTACCTCAATGGTCTAATATTTGATCAGCGTGTTTTTTTGTGTGCAACCTTGTTTACCCAGCGCGAAAACATTTATGGATCCTGAAGGATCAAGAGAATTTTTTGAGGGGCTTGAAAAATCAGGGGACCAAGGAGGGGGAGGACCCTGAGCTATCAGGGTGCCTCTCAACGAATCTGAGGCCCTGCTACTTACGTACGCATCCTCTTCCTCCTCATCCTCCATGCTTTTCCCTTCCTGCTCTTCAGGGACCTGAATAGTGCAGCAATGCTATAAGGCCATCTCGAGATCTCAATGACAGCATCCCAATCCAGCTCATATTCTAACAAGGTCATGCACATTTGGTCTCCTAGGCGAGATTCCTTCAGTCTGCCCTGCAGCCAACTCAAAATCACATTTTGGCAGGAGAACCGGTTCTTAGGGGAAGAACCGACGTAGCGCACCACAACTTGACAAGGTTGGGGTAGCTGTGATCCTAGTCTGGGGTCTTCGGCATTATCGTGAGGCCAGTGCCAAATCCTCTCTCACTCTTCGGCATCACTGCATTGACGGGGCTGAAACGGGGGAGCTCCTTGATGGCCGCCTGCTTGTCAATGCCTGTCAAGGGGAATGGAAGGGGAATGAAACATCCGAGTATAAGACAGGTTCAGGGTTTAGATGACACGTAACAAGGTTGGCTCACCTGGAAGAATCTCTTCAGCTTCTCCTGCATGGTAGATGTTGATTGGGGAGGTGAACCACTCGAGACATTGGACCTTCTTGGCCGCAGGATCACAAACCACAGGCCACTGGTTGGCACAATAAAACATCACACCAAACAGCTGCTGCAGATCCTCCAGCTGCTCATCCAAGTTATTGACCATGAATTCCGCCTTGTCTAGGGAGATCCAGGTCCTGCCATTTGGGAGTTGTGGATACCAAATATTCAGCAGGCAGGACAGTGAATAACAATCTTCCGGATTGAGACGATGACATATGGAAGCATGGATTTTAAGAGACTCACAGGATGAGGCACATAGTATTATCTCAAACATCTACATTCTTTAGTGCACTGTGCAGCACAGGATGTGGTGCCTCATCCATGTACCATAACGAGGGCAGACTGGATATTGGGCATGCGCCAGGCAACGAGTATTGGACATTGCCATGGTTCAACGCCAAGTCATCTATCATACTATTGGCCATGTAACACACATGCTGGTGCCTATGGGTGAGAATGCAGTCACTTTGAAAAATTATGTTTCGTCCTGCCATTGACGATGCACTTATCCAGCTTGGCAACACCTATCGAAAGTCGTATACACGATGCTGCAAAGTGGCACAAGAGGGTGCGTGGGTAGTTGCGAGGAGGGGCACAGGACGATTGGCTGATGCAACGTCACATCTCACATTGCGTTGGGCAATGCATGGTCTGGTACGAAGCTTAATGTGATGTCTTGCCACTACTTGAGGCGCGTTTGAAATGTGAGCATGTGGCGATTACTGGGCACATATAACCTGCCTCAAAAATAGCGTATGCATCCGATGTGTCTGGTCATCCAGCTATGTACTTTTCACCACGCTGAGCCGCTATTACATGCATATCGAGAAGTTGGTTGATACTAGATCAATATCTCACAACATCCAAGATGGGGGCAATATACTTGCACACAATTGAGATTGTGAATGTATATGAAATTCTATCTCAATTGGATAAGTGGCAATACAATACCATTTGCACACACAAATGACTTGTTTAAAATGGACGAAAAAAGCGCTAAACAAAAAGGTACTGTTATGTGGCGCAAATAGCGAGAACCAAAGTGTGAACATTGAGGCAAGAATACAATGCTGCAACTGGAAAACATCCCCATATCTAGAGAGAGCTAGGCCCGGAGAGCTCCGTTGAGGCTCGGCATAGCCGAGACATGAGGCTCTTAAATTGGCTCAAAGTGCTAGAGCCTGCACGAAGCTGTAGATCATACTGGATGTATACATTGGATCAGTGCCACATTTTGGCGAGCACAGTCTGATTGTATGTGTATTTTTGCGCGACAACCCCATTATGGTGTTGTGCGCATTACTAGCTAAAAACCAGACTAAGAAAATATCATTTCCTTACACTATCCCGCCTATGAGGTATGGTCTTAGCTAAGACCGTCGACGTCATGCATATGGCCCGACCGGAGGTAGAATTGTAACACACGGTAATTCTCGATCTATGCCAAGGGCACTCAACTATTATCGAGGCTCGTCTTGTCCTTCCAGGATATAAGGAACTCGATCATTCGAGCACCACACGGGTCTCCAATCCGATGGCTGAGAGTCTTCACTGGTTCGACTGTTGGTTTGGCAAGTAGTCCGATATTCCGGTTGACTTGATGACGTGGTATTCGTCCAGTGTTTGCAATCTAGGGTCGTAATAGGCTTACGTGGAATGATGATTTGGCATTCTAGGTGGCTGGTAACAGCAGGTAAGCAATAAATGCGGTAATAATGTGGCTAATGGTGAAGGGTCCACAGTAGCGAGGGCGAAGTTTTGGGACGATGGGCAATCGAAGGTTTTGGGTATCTAAACGCATTCAGTCACCATCTTGGTAGGTAACAACGCGGCGGTGAAAATCTGCCTTTCCGTTTTAAAATGATGTTCGGCTCGCTCACGAGCATTATGTAAATTTTTTGCAAACAGTTCAGCTCGCGGTCTAGGATTCTCAGCGTTCAGAGCAATGGGCACTGTAGGGTTTTGTCCGTAGTTGAGGGGGCAGAGCACTAATTTGTTTAGCGCATAGAATGTTGATTGCTCTTTCTCCCCTATATACTCAGTCCCTTTCCGCAGCAGGTCAGTTAGAGGTGCAGTTACAGTACCCCAGTATATCGCCAAATGTAATTCACGAATCCCAGAAGGCTTTGTAATTCCTGTTTGTTCGAAGGCAGTAGCCAGGCCTGTACGGTCGCTATCTTGCGGGGGTCTACTTCGACACTCTTAACCGAAATGATGTGGCCTAAAAATACTAGACTTTCTTTTAATAACTCACACTTAGACCATTTCGTAAGTAAGCGATGCTCCTGTAGTAGCGTGAAAACTGTTTGGAGGGCCTTTAAGTGCTGCTCCCGGGTCTCGCTGTAGATCAGGATATCATCAACGTAGACTATAACGCACTTGTCTACTAGCAGGCTATAAATCTGGTTCATGGTCATTTGGAAAGTTGCAGGCGCGTTCGTGAGACCGAAGGGCATAACTACGTAAGCGTACCACCATACCTAGTTCGGAATGTGGTCTTAAGACAGTCATCTACGACTACGCAATCTGGGGGTAACCCCCTCGCAAATCTATCTTAAAAAAGAAGCGGGCTTTGCGAAGTTGATGGATCAGTTCGTCGGCTCGCGTGATCGGGTAACGCGACTTGATGGTCCCTCGATTCAGTGCATGGAAGTCAGTAACCTTCGTCTATTTTTTGGCGTGAACAGTATCGGGGCAGCAAATGGTGACGAGATTGGCGGAATGAATGGTGACGAGCTTGGCAAATGGTGATGATTTTTTTCTCCACGAGGTAATGTATTTCTTTTCGTAACTCCCCTAACTCCGGTTTTGTTAGTCGAAATTGCTGCTGGCCTGTATGCACTGAACCTGGTTCTAATTTTATTCGATGGTCGAAGGTTCGTTCTGGTGGTAATCTCTCGAGCAGGTCATTTGGAAAAGAAATGTGGAAGCTTTCGAATCAGCTGCGCTACGCCGGCTGACACTGTAGCTGTTAGTTCTCTAAATCAGATGGTCGCGATGCCACATCAGCCACGCGAATGACGACATAAAAGAATTCCGCTCCCAGTGCGATTGCGCGTTTGATCGTCACGGAGTTCACCTGCGTTAATCCCTATGTAATCCCCTTTGTCCATCCTAGTAATTATACACTACGACCGTTGATCTTCAA